CTCATATCTATATAAGTTTATTACCTTGCTTCCACGTGGACTAAACGTGTTGAATTGTTGAAGTAATGGAGGATTCACATTGCGTCCGATGTTCGACGTACGACGATCCGACATCCAATAACAGAATTTATTATTAGAGACAAAAATTTCCTATTGGATGTCGGATCGTCGTACGTCGAACATCGGACGCAGTGTGAATCCTCCATAAGTGACGATACGAGATACCATAAATGAGACAGGCAGTGACAAACAGTGGTTGCTCGCGTCAGTATTTGCAGCGCGCTGTCGGTAAACACAGTGACCTGTGTTACCGACAGAAACGAGGCATTGCACGAAGAAGTTGCAAAGGACGTTGTTAGATGGCGCCACATGTACCGTTTGCTGCTCAACCAGCTCAGTAAGGCCGGTATTCATAGTCTGTTCTTATATTTAAGACCATCTTAAGTACAATCTTAAGATGTTATTAACCAATCACAGAGCCGTATTAGCATCTTAAGATATTACTTAAGACGGTCTTGAAATAAGATCTGATTATGAATACCGGCCTAAGAGCATTCGCGTGGTAATCTATGACCACTTTTCGACTTCAACGAGCGTATGTTCCGCGCGCGGCTTTGCGAACGACGCGAACTTGTTTAATCGAATTTTGTGCAGCGACGATTACGTATCATTATTCGTGAGAGTACGGAAGTTCGCTAATCGGTAAATAGAAATTCCAAATAAATATTTAATGATAGCAGCGAGAAAAGAAATCATTCTGAGAAGGAGACAAAGACGATTCATCATTTTAGGATAACTTCAATCGAACTCCTGATTAATTTAATCATTGATAAACTTGTCAAGCAATGCCTGCGCACTATTCTGTTAATATACATGGGATTTTTTGTCGTTTAACATGTAAGAAAGAAATAGGAATAATGATGCTGTCGACAAAATTCTGCCAATTGAATTAATTATCGTTTAATTTATCTAATAATACTTGTCATTCTACGAAAGTAAATAAAATTTATTAACATATGGGCAGAAAAGATTTGGAATAATACAATTAAAAGTTCATTTTAATTTTGCCAGTTAATTTATTAAATAAAACTGTACTATTTTATTAACGTGAAATTGTTAACTTTTTGTTGTTCAATATATAGAAAATAAACCAGAAATAACAAATTATATGGTTAGAAATTTTACTTTAAGCAATTATTCTGTCGGTTGAATTAATCGCCGATTAAGATCAAGTAATATATATACACTATTTTATTAATCTTGATAGGATTATTAATATTTTTTGCCGCTTAAAAAAAATTACGAATGACAATTACACAAGTCATATAGTTAGAAATTTTGTTTTAAACAATTCTGTCGATAGAATTGATCGTCAATTACTTTGTCACGCTAACATAGATAAAATTATTGATTTTTTGTTATTTGAAATATGGAAAACAGGGATTAGATTAGGAATATGAAAGAAAAAGAAAGAGACGATGAATTGTACAGTTATAGAAATTTTGCTTTAAGCAATTCGGTCGGTTGAATTAATCGCCGATTAAGTTAATCGGAGTTCGTCGAAGTTGCCCTTAGCTGTACAGACACAGCAATTGACGACACAACAAGGATCTTTCAAAGGTCCGTTTAATCACCTTACGAAATTACAAGGATAATTCGAAGCACATGCTTTCCGCTAACGAGGTACGTATAGGTATTACGATCGGTTTAAATTTTTACGACACTGAATTACATAATTATGTATACATTATTTAACTGCATATAAACATACAAAAAGTTTAAAATTAATCATCGAGTCGTTGATGAAACATTCGCAATTACCGTCTCCAGCACCACGATCCGACTCTTCCGCGTCATTCGGGCTCGATAATCTTTCGTTATACCGGGTGAAGCTCGAAGCTTTATCGTGGTTAAAAAAAAAAGAAAGAACAATTCGTCATCCCGTAAGACTTAAACACCTATTCTCGTAGCACTTCCGAACCTGTCTTACCGTAAACGATGTGTCGCGTTGAAAATAACTTTTAAATTTATATTTTATTAAAATACACTCAGAAGCAATCTCGTCTGAAATTGCTTCGAATTCACCTTGTCTCTTTGTAGGAACAATAGAACGAGCGAGATCGGTACGGATCGGTGAGAAACGAAAGCGGAGACTGTGCTTCGTTAATCACACAGAAAACGAACGACAATGTAGAGACGCGTTTGTATCGCTTACGGGATGACCGATACGTGCGAGCGTACGGATAAAGCATATACGCGCGACGTAACCTGCAAGGATGCTCTCCTCCACGCTAATAATAATAACTCATTCAACGAAACGTGGCGCGCATTACATCCGCAATTCGGCCCTCCGCCGTGTGCTCGGCCGCTCGTTTCGCGAGCGTTGCCGTAAAAACGTGATTTACGACCTCGCTCTATGCCGGCGCGGAGGGCGCCGGAAATGAGCCATCAATGAGACGATCGCGCGCCGGAGCACGCCGCCCGACGTGGCAGATATAATTCCGCTGTTGCGCATCAGGGACGGTGAGTGATAAATTAATATGTCTATTAAAGTAATTGATAACTAAATTTTACCAATGTAATATGATGTAATATCTAATATATATATTTATTGTTATAAAATAGAAGATTTTTTTCTGGTTAATTATCTAAGTAATTATTTTAGAATCAATAAGTTTCACATCACTTCAAAATGATTTTGAAATATCTATTATACGAAAAATAATTTTAATAATTTGCGAAAAGAGATATTTTTTTCAATTCTAATTATTGGTTCTTCATCCGAAATTGTGTCCACATCTTCAGTAAAAGAGTCAGTTGCATTGCCTACTACTGCGTTACTATTAGTGCTTCCTATTTTTTTAGTTTTGCCTTCTTCCAATATATTTAACGCTTTGCAAAGTAATTTTAGATTAAATATATCGTTTACTTTTTAAAGAAAAATTATATGTGCAATATATGCGCTTTATTTCGGGGACTTGATTTGGTGATAGTATGTCACTCCAAGCTCGAAATTTTAAATTGATTAGCAATTTGCGGTCAGACAGACAAGAAATTTAAAGTATGATATATTAATATATGATCTATTCTAATCAAGGAATCAACAATCCTAAGTTTTCTGCCTCGTCCGGTTGTTAAACAACGCGACTCTTAATTGTCTCAATTGTAACGACTATCTATCTCTGCATGCTTATAAATTATATTATTTTTCAATGTTTATTCTCACGTTCTGTGAGCTGGCTGGGGTAAGACTTCATTTCTTTTTATCATTCAAAAGTTCTGACTGTTATTTTTGTTTTAATTATATCACAAACTATGATCGATGATATTAGCTAAACATCTTAGCTAAGCATCCACTTGGATTTTCTCGTGAAAAATTACACTATTTTTAAACCACTCGATCTGGGAATACTTACTGCTCGTCGAAGAACGTGCATGAGAATATTTTGATTTAACTGGTACTGCATCGTTGATGGTGACTCGAAACAGAGATTAAATTTATAATTATGTATCTTATTAGGAATTAAAAATGGTTACAATGTTAACTTATTCACTGTCAATCGCGTGTTGTACTCTCAAAGCTCACTTCTTTCGTTTCTTTCTCGTCTTTTTAGTTTTTCGTCTCTCTCGTCTCTTTCGTCTTTTAGTCACGGCGGTTATAATAAATGTCTTTTTATATATATTGTATTTATTTTTCAGAGAGGGGCGAAAGGGACAAATTTCACGCCAGGGCGGCATAACGGGCGGAAAGTAACAACTTTCCTCCCTAAGGCCTATACAGGGAGGCTATACAGGGAGGAAAATTGGTACTTTCCGCCCGCTATGCCGGGTGGAAAGTATCAATTTTTTTCCCTAGGAAGGAAAGTAAGCCCTGGCGTGAAATGACCACTCTCGCCTCTCTCTAGGCATGGAAGTCGAACTTTTCGTAAAGATATTGTGTTCACCTCAGGGCGAAAGCTTTTTCAGACTCGTGTGATTTGTCGCCCTCGCCTTCGGCTCGGGCGGCAAACTTCACACTCGTCTGGAAAACGCTACTTTCGCTCCTTGGTGCACAATATACTATTACATCATGATAAAAGTATAACTGATGAACATTACATAAACATTGTGCGTAATAAAGACACGGAATAGATTCCAATTAATAATTATCCTATACCGCGTGAGGATTTTTGTTTGCGAGAATCGTTATATAACGTGTGATAACCGCGTTACAGCAGCGCGCAGTACTCGCGCTCGCGGTCACGGAGCACTCTCGCGAAATCACGAGCTGCGAATTATTATGAATTATTTTTGTGGTCGGGTTGCGGTGTGTGCAGGCGCACTGTGATTTGACCGCCACACATAAAGCATTGTTAAGTAATTAATCTTTGTGAACATACCACGGAACAGAATTAAATACCGTTGACTTGTTACCCGCTGAAAATATCCGGCTTGGTAGCTACATGACTTAATGTAAATGTTTTTTTGCATATAAACGCAGCAGTGGATGGGTTTCTTCTGTAACACAGATATGTTCACTTTCAGGATTCTCTCTGATAAGATAATTTTGTCTATATGTTTAGCTGCATAAAATGTCCTTACACTATCTCTAATTTTACATACATGTGATAATAGAATCGACTTTAATCAAACTTAATTTGATTAGCATAGCCAGCGGATAGTTAAAAAAAAATAGAATGGCAAAACAGATTTTCCAATTACTTATAATTTATAATTTCTAATTTAATTATTTTTTTTATATGTTAAACGACAAAAACTTATTTATTCTATCCATATTAACAAAATAGCACAAATATTTAATAAGTTAATGAGCAACTAAAAGTTAATCGGAATTAGTCGTAATCACTTTAAATCTTTCAAATCAGTATTTTTATTTCTTATTAAGATTACGTTATTTTATTTTATTATTTTCTATTTTATTTTAACAATTCAAATTTTATAAGATAAACAAAAAAATTTATCATCAATAAATAAATTATAGGTTGTATTATAATTCAGGATTTAGCGAAAGTTCTCTTTATTAAAACTATAAAATCACTTCTTTGGGTTACACTAAGGATCGAAATAATATGGTATATCGTTCTGCTGTTCCAGTAATGTAGCTAAAGCCCGTTCTATATTTTCTGGCAAGTGATCCAAGAGCATGCGTGGCATCACCGTTAGTTTCGTAAATTCCTCCGCTTGCGCCCATCGCATCTCATATTTTCTCTCCTTGGCGAGTTGTTTTTTACTAATGTAGAAATTATATATTATTATTATCTAAAATCTTATAGCTTTTATAACTTTTTTAAGATGTTTTTTCTATACCGTTCCTATTTTTTTAAATATTGATTTATATTTATGGGAATTGTTCTGTAAAAGTTAATACTTTGAATAAGAAAATACGTAAAAACAATGTACCTTTTTCCCTCCGTTTTTTCGAGCTTGCATCTAGCTATGTGAAGTATGCGACCAGCATTAAATAATTTCATTCTCGAGTATCTTCTTTTTGTTATGTCCCGCTCTATTATTTGATCCTGCGAAAAAGATAAACTATTAACAACGAAGTATAATACAATAATCGTGTCAAATTCGGTATTACGTAAAATTAATGTTACAAATGTTCGTGTGTTTAATATACTTTCCACAAATTTTGCAATGCATGCAGCATTTTTTTTCTTACCACATCGCCGGGCTTAGTTAGCAAAGGCGATTGACCCGGAATTGTGTTAATTATGTTATGGTTGACCCACGTTTTAGTCAGATCTCTCTCGGGAACTCCGAACAAAGCGTATCCAAATCCGTTTAGGACCACTCTGTACTAAAGAAAAAAAGATAAAAGTATTTATCGAAACACAGTTTGATTTAATTATCTGAGCGACTCGAATACTGAAAATCATGAATTTCAAAATACCTTAGGCAGTCGACAGGCATGAAGAGTTGTCAGTAACGAAGTCCTTAAATTCTCTGTACTATCCACACTAAGCCTCATTACGAGATCATCCCCTAATCCTACAGTCAATACGAATTCCTCCGTGACCCTAGCAGCTTCTCTGCTCAGCAGTCCAGCTTTTTTGACAAATACATTCGAAATTGTAAATTAGTCTAATATGTGTGTACAAAATTAATAAGTGTCTGCTAAAATTTTTCTCAGTTGATAAAATTATGAATTAAAATCATTATTTGCACAAGTAATTACCAGGCGTAGCAAATGCGTAGACTCTCAACTCCGGATAACGAGGACGTATAAGTAAACCAAGCAGAATGGCTAAACCGGCTCCTAAACTATGACCTACGTATACATGTTATCTCATTAAAGAATTGTACAGTTATGCGCCGACGGCGGTTTGTTACCAGAATGAAGTTCTTACCTGTAAGCGTCAAATGATAATTAGGATACGTGGCGAACGCTCTTTCCAAGATTTTATGATTCTCCAATTGCTTTAAGATTACTTTTACACATATTATCATGCCTTTATGAGCCTATAAATTTTATATAGATTTATATACAATTAAATCGATTAATTTTATATGTATATTTATATACAAGAAGAAAATAAAGCTAACCATGCTGCCTGGTGGAACGCCAGGACACTCAAATGAATCAGACGCGGCCGCGAAATCGGTAATTATATCTCTCAAGGATAACGACCCTCGTATAGCCACGACAATACTGGCAGTTTTGTGATCCACCATTACGCAGAATGGTATCTGTGAAATTTCAAAGAGTAATACGTAATACCAAATGAGCGATAGAAAGAGTATAATTTTAGAACGGTATACAAACTTCACATAAATGATTTTTGAAGGAAGCGAATAGAATATCCTCCTCAGATATCTTCGACAAGTATTTCACACCAGAAAGATAACAGAGACAACAGTTATCGTCCAGAATAATATTACGTTTTCGTCTAAAAAAAAGAGATAAATATAATAAAATAATAAAGCAATAAAAATAATTATAAAAAAACTGTACATGGATTATTTATAAAATTATATTATAAAATAATGAGACAAAGAGTTAATATTGAATATAGAGTTTTATATGTTATGTTCTTTTACCGGAAACAAGCACAGCATCTCATGCCGCGTATCAAACGAAAACATCCGGTACACGCGTGCTGATATATTACGAAAAGCCAGCCGTAGGAGGCGATCGATAGTTGCAGGAAGTGATGGGCGGCTTCCAAGGACATCCAGTTAGGTGTGCCCGAAAAGATTTCATTACCATCTAACAAATGCGGACAGCAAATATTTGATAATTAATGGTAAACATTTGCATTTCAATACGCGCGTTTTTACTTTTTTTCCGTGAATGACGTATGTACCTGAAGTGTATTTTGGACGCGGGATTAGATTTAACTTTCGCAATTCGTGAATTTCTCGCTTCTGCCGGACTCTTAGCAAGACGCATCCCGCCATTACATCTGAGGGAACCAAATCCGTGCCTCGAAATAAGGCGCTTAAAAGACCTACAAAGATATTTGTATCAGTAATTCAGTATTTTATCGGGTGACGAGTTATATTATTAAAAAATATATAGCTTATTCTCTCCTTCTCTCTCTTTCTCTACAATATCGCATCCACCAATGTGTTATAGTATAATGATATAAAGCGCTAAAAATAGTGTAAACTACTTGTTTAGACAGACTAATGAATAAAATCAAATAAAATATATTATTGCAACTTTTTTATCATTTAATGTTAACGATGCTGATAAACCTCACCGCGAATTAAAATTCATTTTTGCTTGCATACCGCGGTGACCGCGCATATCTCGAAGCGCTCGCTATCTCCAAGCGGCGGGAGAGCGATGCATCCGTCGCGAAGAAAATCCCACCGGCTCCAAAACCAGAACAGAGATCAGTGATTTTGATTTATCATCGGTCAACCGTCCCGGTGACCGTTTCCGCGCCCGGTTTTCGATCGGAAGCGATGCCCGCGTTCCAGTTTCGAATGCGGCAGGACTTCTTCGTAGGCTAGCCATACCTATGTCTCACCAGCAACTTGTTGAAAAGCCTCGTTCGCGCTCTCGTCCTTACGCATCCACCACAGAAACTTGAATCTCCGTAGCCAGATGCGCGAGATCTTGCCGTGCTCCGCGGAGCTCTCCAGCTGCTTCTTTTCCAAGGAGCCGATCGGGTCGAACACTAGGGCGAGGCCGAAAATGCTGAGGCCGATCAGGATCCAATCGAAGAACACTAGGGCCTCCACGACAGTGATAGAGTACGACTCGTGATTGCACTCCACGCTCTGTCCGAAAATCCACAGGGTGCCCAAAATGTTCCATCCGATCTCCGGCAGTAGCATCAATATCCTACATTAAGTCGTAGAGAGATTTCTAGACTTTTCTTGATTGACTTGAGATCACCAGTTTTTTCTGACAAGTAAACCTACCCAAGTGATACTCCGATTTCTTTTAAATTTGGTACAAATGTAGAACTACGAAAAATATTTCACCCGTGTGAATAGTAAACGATTTAACAAATCAGTAATAAGACTGAAAACAATTATAGTGCTTTGTAGTGATATAAATTAGAGAATTTTTAGGTCGCTGATTAGATGTATTATTGAGAGATAAAAAATTATCCTTTAATATTATTATAATAAACCTATTTGTTACAGTAGTAAAGAATTATTTTTATTAGGCCAAAACTTATGGGCCAAAATGGAAAGACATATGGATGAAATATTTTTTGTAGTTTTAAATTTGTGCGAAATTTAAAAGAAATCGGAGTGTATCACTTGGGTAGGTTTCCTTGTGAGTATAAGATAAATAAATCACATATGGCCATTGTTACGAATATTGAAATATGGCAATAATGTAAATAAAATTGTAACCGGTATTTTCTTAATGATACTACCATGTCAATGTAGCAAATTATGTCAGAAATATGAATGTAGAGAATTTAGATAATTCCATGAAATTCGTGTATGGGTGCGTGTATTGCCTACTCGTAGCATTTATAGTTTGTATATGTCTTCTTTTTTATTGTTTCTAGATTATGTATTTCGCGTGTCTCGATTGGTGCGTAGTTTATTTCACAAAAAAGTCACAAATTTGAGTAATTTAGTCATGAAAAAAATGAATAATTGTATTTGTTTTGACTTTTTTAATACAAGGCTTAATATTTATGTACAGCATACACATAAATTCTCTATATCTTTCTTTATCATTTATTATTCTTATATTTAGATATATTACTCTTTAAATTGTTATATTATTATTTTTTGCTTTACTCTTTAATTTTCATCATCAATCAGTGACTGAAAATAAAAGACTATTCTGACAAATTATAATACAATTTAGCATAGAAGCTATATGACAAAATCGTATGTAAATGACTTGTGTTTGAATAATTCTACAAGTTTTAAAATAAAATTTAAATTTAATTATAAAGCTATATATGACATACAAAACTGAAGAGTTATAATAAATAATGATCTTCTCCTTTGAGAATCGATTATAAAGAATTAGGCGAAGTTTGTTATTGAAAAAACAACTGCACACTATACAGAAATTTAAAACTTTGAAAGAGTCTTCCTGATTGTTGATCTAGAAAACTGATTAGACGTAACGCTGGTTTACTTTTATTGCTTACTTGACCGTCAGGAGCGGTTGAACGTAGCGTCGGGCATGCGTGTCCATGATGGCCCCTCTCGCGCTATGCCTGATAATGATGAGTATCAAAAGCGTGACGATACCAAGCATGACCGCCTCACCGAGGAGGTACACGCGCACTAATTCACCTCCCAACCGACAATTCCACGTATCCTCGTAGTACCTTACGCAGGCGATCCCTATAAGAATCAACCTGTAAAACACATAGCCGATTACGAGAAACAAACTAGCAACGATCCGAGCGATTTCGATCGTGTGACGCGCACCTGCGAAAGAACTTAATATTGAGAGTAGGTTCAATGCTTCTAGTGAGTTTAGAGAATCGTTGAATTTAATTAAAATTTGTATTTTAAAAACTCTTGTGTTGATAAATCAATTCGCATGTGAGATTGCAATATTCGCGATTAATATTGCATACTGTAATTTCGACACATTGATTGCATTATCTGTTTATCGATGATACTCACCATACAATACGGATAAATAATTCGAATAGGCCAGGGTACACAAGATCGTCGGTTGCGGCCAACCATTTTCGACCGAAGAGCTTCACCGCAGGCATTTCCCTGTAGAAAGAAACTTTGCTGTAAGAGTTGTAACTTTGTTAGAATTTTTTCTTAATCAAGTGAGTTAAAGATAAAGGGTAGATACTTGTTTATAAACGTTTTATCCAGGAAGTCAAAGTATGTCTCTATTTAGATCGTATCTAAACGCTCATGATACCGTGATTGATTGATTCGGTCACGTTCGCGAGGATCTTGCGGTAGCTCGCGGAGCACGCACCGCGGAAAGTTTACTTAGCGAAGCCCTCGTGCACAGGTTTTGTAATATTACAAAATAAAGCGGACGCACGGCTTTCTATGCTCATAAATTCCCCGGAATTCGGGCGATTATGGTATACCCGGGTATCTCGTCGATCACGAAACCGCCGTTCGGAGAAAGTGCCGAGAGAAAGTCCATGTGTCCATCCCACATCCGAGACCATGTTGACACAGTCTTCCGACGTGTTTAAATGGACCTTTAGCGACCCGTGATTTTGGGTTGCCCTAGGTGTAATTTAGTTGCTAATAATATATAATTAATTATACCAACGGCGACGTAGTGTCGCTACTTATATATACCTGATGATCGAACATGCGATATACGCGTTACTTGTTGAATACATCTCGTTTAATCGTGCTGTACCCCATTATTGTTAAGCAATTTTCTGTTCAGTAATTTTTTGCGCCATAAGGGAAAAAACCAGATGAGTGTAATTAACATTTATTTACTCTGGAAAATTACAAATTTTAATATAGTTCTGTTTAATCGTTTTTATAGGACTGCTCAAATTCATAAAAATAAAATTTGCTTGTTATATATCTGTATTTTTTTGTTTATCGCGTTTAAAGTTTTTTTCACTGTCATGGTTCTTCTTACATTTTCCTTGATTCTTTCTGAGGCTTTTAGGTTTGTGCGCAAATTAGCGCTCTCCTAACGAGTTGCGTAAATGGCTTTCGAGCGTTTAATCACGGGAAAGCATAAAGTTTACATCATAATACGTACTTTTTGAATGTGTCAATTAGTTGTAGATATAATTATCCAACTTTTTTTCTTTATAAAAAAACATAAGAATGCGGAAATTACAGTATTATTATGATATTAGGAGGAGGATAGAAAATTGACATGCATTATTATCGCGGTAATTTTGTCAATAATGACTCAGGCCTCGGATTAACTATTTATTGTCAGAATAACAAGTCGTTACTCGCTAAATCTTAAACGTTATCGCAGCTTCAACATGAATATATAATATACTGTTTAAATAAATGAAGAAAAGTTGTTGCTATATTTTTTCGTCGTTTTTAGGATTGTAAAAATAAGGGATTTCTTAGAAGATAACAAATCTACAAGAGATTGTAATCGCAATTGCTGAAATTGCACTGGCAGCAATTAACGCTTCCTTGAAACTTATTTTGCCTTGCATAATGGGGATGTGTGGAAAAGCGTAGAAAACCACTTAAAATCGTACGTCATTCGACCTACAACAAAGTAGAACCGGTTTCCGGTACAAAAGCCCGCATTGCAATTTGCGAAGAAATATTTCTGCAATAACGATCAGTTTCATTACGATTAAGCGAGAGTTAAAAAAAAATGAGAACGATGTTCGAAAAATATACATGCTATGACTGTGTGTATGTTTACTGCCCGCGATGTTGGTAGATCGAATTACGCGAAATGAAGTGCATCGTATGCATTCCATGACTCGAAACGCGCGCAGTCACGACGCAAGTTTGACGAAACAATATATGCGAATCGGAAACTCGCGCCTTTTAACACATGTATTTAACTCCTCTTTGGAATATTCCACATGATACTGAAAGTCAGTCATTTTAATCTCTTAGATAATGAGTTCCGATCGAACTTGACAATATAATTAGTATTTTACGCAGTATTTTACGCGGTAAGAGGATGACTCATTGTCTAGATACAAATAACTAATGAATCATTAAAAATTATTTATGACGAAAAATTTCCCACGACATGTAATGATGATACGATGAAACACTGAATATTTTATATGTCGATGTCAAAGACGCGTGTGTATGAAAAATAATTTATGCATGTTTGTATAATTTATATTTCTACAATTAAAAAAGTAATGTGTTATTAATGTATTATAATACATTAATAATACGTTACTCTTTTAATGTAATTACATTACTTTTTTACTTTTTTACATTACTTTTTTTACTATAGTAATGTATTATTTATTTACACGATAGGGGTTCCCAACCGCCTAAAGTTTTATTCATTATCTGGTCCGCCAAGAAATGTCGACGTTACAATTTCAAAATAAAAGTATTTTCTTTTATATGATTTTTGAAAATAAAACTTATTCGGCTCTTCGGTCATTACACAAATTTTAATATAGCTCTCTTGACAAAAAAAGTTAGGAATAATTTACGACTATGTCAGACACATTTCGTATATCTATAGTTTGAAACATTATATTCAGCAGTATATTATCTAACTGTATATCGGTTTTAATTCGCGCTATCTTCTGATTATCATAAAGATAAAGATTCTAATTATCATAAGAATATATATCATAAAGATGGATCTTATTATTTCGGTATTGTTGCTTTCTTTATGCGTGCGAACAGCGTTCTTCATTAATTAAGCCCACAAGATTCTTACAAAACATGTAGCACGAACTACCGTTACATAGCGAATCACGATATACGTTATATTTTACACGATGTTGTTTTGCTAGCAATCAACTTGCTTATTTATAAGAATGTTAGAAAAAATTAGCAATTAGAAAAGAATTGCTTACAAACGATACAAATATTATTATGTTGTTTTAATTTTATTTATCTTTTCTCTTTCTCTTCATTAGATGTTACTGCATATAATTAGTAAATTTTTTGTGAAAGAGATTAGATCTCTTGCAACATTAAAATATCTCATTTTAACTGATTTACGAACTGGTTTACGACATATGATTTGCCACACCTACGAAATGACGCGCCGCTGATAACAGAAAAAAATGCGAAGTTTTTACTCACGGGTGCGCGAATCGATATCCGGACGCGTGTTACACGCGCGTTGAAATCTCCTCTCGACCGACACGCCGTGGACGCGACACACTCCACCTCGCCCACCGCGCGCTCCAGCTGTTTGCTCTGCCACCTCGAAAATTCACCGCGGTCTCGAGAGCTGCAGATAAACCCGATTGGAATTTTCGTTTAATCACCGAGCTTTTCTCCGAGTTGTGCTCGCGCGCAAAACTGGAGCACTTCCTACGCTCAGGTTTCCCGTTAAACGCGAACGTCTCGCGAACAACTAATTTTCGCGTTTGCGCGCGATATTTTCGGAGACTCACGAACACGAACTCGGATACCGTTCGAGTCTCTCCTCGTCTAACAACGTACTCTTCGTTGCTCGCGATCGCGAAACGGCGCGTGCCGTAATCACTTTGTCCAACTAATCGTTCGCCGCACGCGCCGGTTTTGGCACCGCTGTCAAAGCTGCGCTTATCTCACGTACGGAGATACGCATATCGTCCGCGGTACGAGCGTCTCTCAGCAACCGGTGGCAGCAAGCTGGTCCTTGGACACTCGCGTAAAACCGCGATAATAACAACGGTGACGACCGCAAGAGATGACGCTGACGCGCGCGCGAGAGGTATCTCAATCCAAGAGCGGCACTTCACAATCTTACGTCGGGGACGGCCAATCTCGATGCAGAATCGCATTGGACGGAACGTTTTACACGATGCATCGCGCTGCAACTTGTTCACCTTGCAACGCGCGAGCGACCGAATCTCACGATCTTGCTGACCACAACTGGTCCGGTACGCTACTGCAGAGAGAAAGAGAGGCCGTGAGGAACTTTCCCTCCGCCGGGGTTATCGCGCGCGGCGGTTCTGGCCACGCGAGGAGGAAAAATGCAGCGAAAAAGGAGAAGAGGAATGAACGGGCTGCCTCGAGAGGGATAAACGCCGTGCCGTCGAGCCGAGTCGAGCCGAGCCGAGCTCATGGTGGGAGCGACGAATCGGCGACGCACCTGGCGATCGTGCCTGACCGTTCCTCTCGAGGAGATAGGGAACGCGGTGAATGCCGATATCCGGTGGATCTAGGAAGATTAACCGAGGAGGGGGCACGTTTGCGCAATGTTCTTCTTATCCAAAACGGAAGAATTACATACGTTACATATAAAGCGATCAATCTAAATCCGTTAACGTCTTGTTAAAATGCAAAGGTTTTACATCCTTTGGGCGCACTAAATCTACGTCATTCTTCTTAACATTGATTACATTTGTCACACTTATCTATAACTTATTGCATTTTACTTGGAATTACACTTGGAATGCAAATTTCTCTCATCAGAGCTTCCCCTAAGAAACTTGTCAACGATCGAATCATAGATAATCAAAAGAGAGATCAATTCCCGTTGTATTCTCTGCCGCTTGAGTAACTTCGCTTGGTATCGACTTATCTCAAATGGACTTTACATAAGATGGAAGTCAATCTTGTAACCGCATTTACTACCACATTCGAACTGAAAGTACTGACCGCACGCATGTGCACGTACAATGATCGCGCTACATTCATCGGATATGCATCAGTTCCATGATCGTGTACACGTATTACAAATGGCTTTCAGGTTTCCCTAGTTTACGAAGCGAGTTAAATGCATCAAATAAATCTCATAGCGACGATTCAGTAGATTCAGAGATAACGGTGTTCTTGGCAGGCATTGCGTGAATAATATACAAATCAATTGTGAGACATTATTAATGTCTCACACAATTGAATTGAATAAAAAACCGATTCATAATTAAAGTATTATACAAGTTATAAATTATAGTCGCAAAAATGCAAATATGAATAATCCGTTTTTTTTTTTTCACAAAAAACCGTAAAAAAGAATATGACAAATGCAAAAATGTCCGCTATAAATTTTTCGCTCTTTTATAACTGAAGCATTTATGTAAGCGTTACCTCGAGCAAATAAACAAAAAAAAAATTATTTATGTTTGCAAAAAAAAAAAACAAATTTCTCATTATAAGACTCGAAGATATGAAGCTCGGTTTGTATTACGACTTCTACAAGATAATGTTGGAATTTGAATAATAATACCGCACACACATAAGCAAATTCCTCTGAGTTTCCTCTAAAAAGTCATTCTTATGCCACTTTATATGTACATTTGATTGTAAAAAAGGGAACATATTGCGTTTTTAAAAATGTTGTGACTAAATAACTACTCGCGTCAATGTATCGACTCGCGTCTTATCGATTTGATGAGTTTTCTCGCCAAAATAACTGCGAGATGATCGTTCGTAAATAGCAGGATCTTGTACCGTGATCGATTGCAATATTCGTCTTTAAAATCGTTTTTGAAATCTGAATTTTAGCTCGAGCGACGTTCGTAAAAATACATGTGATGTAAAAGTCCAAAGAGCTAATTGAGACCCAGTGTATGCTTTAATAAATGGCGACGTGTCGCAAGGATAAACATTTGGAGAATGAATAACCGTGTGTTTGGATATGCCGTTTTGATTTCACGGACAAAAATCATCTCGGGTCGAGAACGTGTTCGACAGGACAAAATAATACTCGCAAAAAATTGCGCTACATGCTTTTCGCTGCTTTTTCGAGAAACGAACGCATCCGTTCGCCAAGCAGGCTTGCACTACAGTTAAGTGCCTTTCTTGTGCATTTGCGCATCCGGTTTGGAATGCAATTTCTTTCTTTCTTTTGGGCCGCGGCGACCGCCGGCGCGAGTTCGTGGAACTATAATTGACGTTATTCTCTCGTGCAGGGAAGTCCCATTATTATCCTTCCAAGATGACGCGTTGACATTGTGCATAGCGTCATAGCAATAGCAATTAAGATAGCTCGTAAAAAGTGAGAAGTGGTTTACGACATGCAATTTACGAACCGCTTTTAGAACTTAATGTGTGGCAAAAGAACAAGTTTTATTTTATTGATTTAATGCGCAAGTCAATATGTATATTTATGTATCTTCTGTCTTTTCACAAAGAATTCAATCCTTTTCCAGTGATACGAGTTACTGCGTACTCGCATACGATGCGTGTATAGCAACTTTGTATCTTATTTGTACTTTGATTGAACTTTAATATGGAGTATATATATATGTATACTGTTTTAATTTATTATTAAATTAAGAACGAGTTGCACGCGAGAAAAATATCATTTTTGTATTAAATATTTTCGAAGAAAACAATATAGATTATAAATAATATATAAATTAAAAAGTTTATTAATATTCGTAAGGTTTTCAGTAAGGTCAATTGATTACAATTGAAATGAAATACAGTAAGGTTAATTGAATAATACAATTGAAAAGGATATCATGATCTTATTTTAATAAAATGTTTAAAGGTAAAAATATTCAATATCATCATACGGAAATACATATATACATACGGAAAAAGTTAAACATTAAAACATGTTTCTAGTTTTATATTCCGAGAATGGAATCTTTTTTTATGTACGTATTAATATATGATAAATATTCTATATTATCCTTTGTCCTCTGTTTTTATACATATATATCAGCTGTTTTGCTGGTACGGTATATTTCACTGTATCAGCAAAACAACTGTTGAATAATAAAATCTCTTTCCTCCTGCATAAGAAATTAATACATATATAAGAAACAAACGTAAATAGGTGAGTAAATTATCATAGCCAGTTATCTATATGAAATTATGTTAATATATACAGCCTATTCGTAATGTGTTTATTAGTTCTTCTTAAGTGTAAAACCAATATATACTATAAATACTTTCTATAAAGTTATATTTTATTTTAATATTATAGAATAATATTATAAAACCTCTTTAATTTTCCAAACGGTTTCTTGCAAATTTTAAAATTATTAATATTTTACATAAATTAAGCATATCTTTGCAAAAGATTACCTTTAATAGGGTAAACTCGGGTAAGCTGGCCAACCCATGTTTATTCGATGTTTCATGGCGAGCTAGATTGAAAGAACATAGGTTGGCCATCTTTCGTCTATGGCCATCTTACCCGAGGTTACCTTAAATAATATGTGCGTAATATTTAATTGTTATAAAAAAACATTTAACGTTTTATGAACCTAAAACAAAATGCTATAACAAATGCTATAACAAATGTTATAACAATTTGTGCTAAGATTTAATATGTATATCTTAAATTCTTTAATTGTAATTAATTCATTCTCAGTTCGTTATGCTACATATTATAACTTGGTCGGTTTCGATTAACTTTTAACGCTGTATTTACACGATTACGTTTTCTTGTTTTCTCTTTTGTTTAAGATTTACATTAATGTAAATCTTATTAGAAACATTTTGACAGAAGTCAACTTTAAAATTTATTATTTCATAAGAAAACTACAAAAAAATCTTTATATAACAATAGTTTTTAGTCATTAAGGAACAAAAAACGAATTTCACAAGCAAAAACATAAAAACTCAGAAGTTTCAAGGGACTGGTAGCGTGATACAGTTGTCGGAGTGTACAGTAGTGGAACGCGTAGTCGTACGACAGGTTCGCCTCGCCCCGTAACAATCATGCGAGGGCAGCAAGCCCGTTTGTCGAACGAGCGTAAACCGATCGGACGAGCATTTCGACTCGTTTCGATATACACGCTCCACAGGGACAACGACGTGGACTTTCACTTGCGCGCGACGAGCCTTCTCGATCCTTGCGTAGCGTACCTACGTATACGCGGATTTAAAACGCGCAGCGCATAAACACGTACCACGCGGCTGATTGCGCAGCATCAGCAAATCTGTACGATAAATAATTAGCTAACCGCAAATTTGCAATTTATTCGGTCGCGAAATCGCGTACGAAAAGAGATTGCACAGTATTGGTCATCTCAAACGCTGACATCGACACAATGCGCGAAACTTATTTCTTTACAATTTAAAAATTATGACAGTTTTTCAAACAAATGGGTTTTTTAAATAAATTCTCTTTTATATTATTATATTTATAATAAGTCAACTTTAATTTTAATTAAAAGTTGACAAAAATAATTAGCAGAACATTGGATAATTTATTAGATACCTTTACTATATAAAGGACGGAGGGTCAATAAGATCGTTTTGGGCTTTTATCCGATTTTCATAAAACAATTCTTTTTTACTTTCTGATAGTCTAAGTGAACAAAAAATATAATACATATTTGAATAAAGTTCTATTTAGGACTGTAAAAGATTTCAGTGGATCGATATGAGCTGCTGATTGAAAACATATTTCTAATCGATTTTTTGAAACAATATTAAAAGTCTGCTGTTTAGTTATTTTCAATATAAAGCTAAATGACTATAATATCTACGACATATTTTATATACATTAGTATTATTACAGCATCTAGGACAGTCCAGAATTAAAATATTTTCTTTTATAAAAACCTTTTGTTGAATTGGATTAATAATATATTTTAGATTTTTTTGGATGTTTACAAATAAAGCAACACTTATGTGAAGATATCAATTTTATTTTTATGGATAGTTTTCTATTTATCAGGCTTAGATCAATTGAGTTATTAAATAAAAAACATATTCTAGAAGTGCTACATAATAATATGCATTAGAAGTGCCAGAATTTTAATTAGATGCACTTTTTTTTAATCAGCGACTTATGCCAATCAATTAAAAGCTATTTACAATCATAAATGGAACTCTATGCGGATTACATTTTTGTTTAATAAGGCTATTAGAAAGTAACAGAAAATTGTTTTATGGAAATTGGAAGGGAGTCCAAAAATGGCCTTATTGACTCTTCTTTATACTAGATTTATATTAGATTTATACATTAAATATGTATTTATATACTATATTATATATGTGTTTGTACACTAAATACTGTTATCTACATTTTATTTCCTCCATTATTAGTTTATATACATATAAGAGACAGACCTGTTACATATATATAATTATG